ATAATCCATAATCAAACTCATAATAATTTATTATCAAAATGATCAGCTCATCGACCTCTACAAACCCTGGAAATTTCAGCCAATTCTGAGAAAGTCGATGTAAATGTGGTAGGTTTCCCATGGATTCACCCATTGTCTTTTCTTTATACTTGTTCATGAATATCAGTCATTGTATTGACCAACACATTCTTTCTGCTTTATAAAAATGTCGGCTTCGTCAACAACAACACCAATTTGCACATTTGATAAACAAGAAGTTGTTCTTAATCAAAAAAAGAAAATGGAAATTTCACTACACGATGTCGTTGCAATAATGAAGGATACATGTAAAGTTTTCATTGAAATTTTTTTTTCTAAGATTTTATATCTGTTTATCGATTTTTTCAGACATGTTTCGAATCGGAAAAATTGTAAGAATTATAGACAATACTTATCAAGTTACTTTGTTTAAGTATAAGCTCGATACAAAAACTGACACTGTAACCAGAGATGGAATCGGTACCGGTTACCGGCCGGTCCGGTCCGGTCAGGCCCGTAGCGGTCTGGATTTTGGATCGACCGGTCTGCCGGTCTACCGATCCAAACCGGTCTATACTGGTCTATATTTTTCACTTTCCTGCTCTATGATTGTATTCAAGGTACGAAGGTAACCCACCAAAGAGTTCACTACACAAGATTTCATTTTAAGCTTCAGCCTGTTGTCTGTAGATCGATATTTTATCGATAGGTCGGGTTTTCCTGATAAACTGGCGTATCACCAGTATCCTGTCACTATCGGTAGACCGGTTTGGACGGGTAGACCGGTCAAACCGGTATACCGGCCGGTCCGGTCCGGTCTACCTTTCTCCAGACCCGCACCGGTACCGGTCTGAAAAAATGTAGACCGGTTCCATCTCTGCCCAACATGATCTGTTCAGTAAACTGCAGATGTTACGTACGTGTTCATATATTATTCGTAAGAGAATTAATCATTTTCAATTTACTTTTAGTCAATAATTTGTCTTGTATGGGGAACAATTTGTCTTCTACGAGTGACGACTCATCTTGTATGGATGATGATTCGTCCACAACTCTATCAACGGCTAAATTGACAACAAAGCAAACAGTAAGAATTTTTTTTCGTCTAGAAAATCAATAGACAGTCCAGTCAGAAAGTATCTATTCATACTTTCTTTTTCCTTTTGTTTTTATATCGTCAATCGCCACTATAAAAGTTGACCATAAATCATAAACTTTCATTTATTTAGATAATTGAAGAGATGCAATCGAAAATCGAACGAATGGAATCAAAAATTCAACAAATGGTGAAAAAATTACTTCAATGTGAAGAATGTTTACCAATGTTGGAAAAGATGATCGTCGATGAAGTTTTAAATATTGACATATTAGTCACTTCAATGTTCGAAGTAGTGGATACACTGAACGAACAAACATTAACACGTTTATCAACATATATTGCTCAATATATCACGACACACAAATCATTTTCTTCACTTGAAGAACAATTAATGAATATGAATTTACATCGACAACAATTAATGAAAAGAATTTTACATAATATTCGTAAGAATCATGTTTTCATTTATTTAATAATAAAATAACGTTTATTTAGATGTGATAATCAAAAGAAATGGCTATCAAGCGTTTGATACTAGCTTCATATTTAACTATGCGGATTTATTGAAGCATATGTTGTAATAAATGGAAGTGAACAGATGTAAAATATAAAGACTTTTTTGTGTAAAATGAATTATGTTCTTATTAATATATTGATAAAAGAATATCTAAATACATCATTATGGTTTTCATTCATGTGTGTAGCAATTGTGAAAGAAATTAGGAAACAATGAAAATATTCTATTTTAGCAAATAAACATATCGATAGAAACATCGACAAAAAGTTCTTAGTGATGTTATCGATGAAATATTTTCACAATGAATACAAATAATATTTAATTAGAGAAAAGAAAGGTGTAGAAACATGTTGATGACATAGTATTCATTTTGTTACAAAATCCTATTTTCATCAATTAGACGAAATATTCCAGAACAAAAAAATACATTCCATAGACAGTGTTGGAATTTCTCTCGGAAACATCTTACTTAATATCCATGTCTATATCCACTAACATAGACAAAATATGTCGTTTTTGCCAAAGGTTTTCTCATTTCTCACTATGTTCTAGAGGAACTTGTCAAGAATGAATAGATTGAATATTGTGACGGTTCCAGATTCGAATCGATTTTTTTCACAAACTATGAGACAGTACTCCATCATGGAAGATTTTTTTAGTTACATCACTCGTCCACTATTACTTCTAAACGTTAGACATACTTTAAATCAGTAAATTGCATTGTCTGATGAAAATATCTTCATCTAATTGGTTGATTTACATCTTTGTATAAATGACTTTTCCTTTGTTATAATAATTGATCATCAAACATAACCCTTCATATATATATGTCTACATCAGCTTTAATCTAGACAGGCAACGTATCAACAATGAACTGTTTATCAAAAAAGAGTATGTATAATCTACTTAATAATATGATTAATAAAATGATTTTTGTGCATGAAAGATGTTGTCGAACTAGTCGATTTAGCAGATGAATTAATATTATATATTATGAATAAAATTAATCCTCGTATGTTATTACTTTGTTCGATGATTGATATTGATAATAATCATTTAGAAGCACTTGGATTTGATAGATGTCATTCAATCGGTTTAACTTTTCATTACCATCGAGCATGACATCAATTACTTCTTCGACGCTTTTATTCTGATGTTATGGCTCGTATCAGCCATTATATTCAATCATTAACAATTAATCTTGACCAAATATGAAAAATTAAAAGTTTTGTTGAGAATAATTGTAATGGAACTCTTCCAAATGTGGGACACTTGAAAATAACGCTGGATGCCAAACAAGATAAAACAGACATACCTTATACAATAGATAAATAATTATTGATCCGATATTTCTAAACCGTATTTATATATCGCATTGTTTTCTTTTCTCATCAGAAAAGAAACAAAGTTCTATCATTTGAGAATTGTAGTATCCTTTGTTAATGTCTTATTAGACAAGAGAACCTCATTAACTTATCTTGTTTAGATAAAGATCACACGTTGAAAATAATCAGTGAGATACTTCCGAGATCATTTCACTTTTTTAACTTATAAAAGCTTTTCTTAGAATGAGCATAGATCGAACAAAATATGCCAAAGCCTTGTTGATTTATCGAATGATGACCATCGAAAAAGAACTAGTTTAATCAAATATGATATAATAATAGTTATGCATATGTATTTCAGTAAACGATGAGATGATTGGCATTGGAAGGTACAAACCTCTCTTCTCAATTGTACGACAATTTTTCCTACTGCCCAACTATAGTCTTGGTGCAAAACTATCTGCCTTATGTCATTCATCACTTATGCGTTCTATTCAATTGTTCGAACTTGATGATAATTATATTTTAACCGAAAGATTTGACGATGATCGATTGTACTTCGATTAAGTTATTCGATTAACTGATATTCGTATATCTCTATGGAATTTCGATCAATGCGTTCATTTACTAAAACAAATGGGCTCACAACTCCATTCATTTACAGTTACTTTAAGATATGTTTGGGAAGAGCAATCTGATTTGATCTAGGAAATAAGATCGGTAAGGAAGATTTCAAGATTTAACATTTCAATGAATATCCTTATTTAGATTTCGTGTCTTAATTTAAAACAAATGACAATGATAATGCATCAGAATTTGAATAACTATGAAATGTGTATATTCTGGTATCATAATGTAATAGTAAAAGACTCGTGTATCTGTTGGAAGTAAATATGTTGTTTCAGTTTATGCCCATCTCAAACCATACTAGTGCGAGTGAATCTTTCAGAAATAATGTGTTTGCAGATGAAACAGATCTCTAAAGAAATACATTGCCTACTGAGATCTATAACTCAAATCAGGCAGCTATTCCAATCAAATAGCCTTAAGAGTAATTTGATAAGGAAATTAATGCAGATATATATCGTTGACTAGATATGTAAGACCTAACCAATATGCGTGTTTTTTCTTTGTAGAAACTATAGAAGGCCGAAATTACAATACCAGAGGTAACTGATTAAGTCAACTTTGAGAGATTATATAATAATACAAGGGAAAAGTTAAAACACTAATTATCGCCGATTAGGAATGAGTTCAATATTAGCAATGATCTTTGACACCATGCAACAATCATCACCAAGAGAAAATTAGAGATAAATGATTACGCAAGGTGTTCGAGTAGATCGATCTTTTCCAGGTAGATATAGCTTTTCTGTCAATCCGTCTGACCGACCTGTATGTTGTGTTTAAAGGATTGATGTATTTTAAGTCAATATCGCGAACATGATTGCATAAAAAAGGTCGTAGTCGTCACAAAGAGCAGACGAATTGTCTATATCAGTGTAGCACGATAATATTACACATTTTTTGATATGACGACATGTGAGAGGAATTAATAAAGACCAAGAAAAGTAGTATTATTATGGAAAGACTAATATTTGCTGCAGAGTCTATTAAATGAGCGAAGAAAGAAAATACGATTTACAGTATCCGTAGCAAGAGAAGAATGAGATTCACTGGTAACTCATCTTCGGACAAAAATTCCTGTTTAAACTCGATTGAGGAGATGGTATGCATAGAAGAAGATGTGTCAATGAATGCATGGATAGGTGAAGACAACAGTTATGGGTTATTATTAGTCATGAGGAACACAACCGAAGATAGTGGGGGATAACATTCTAACTTACAGCGACATATATACTTTTCTTTATCCGTTGTTAATAGCGGCTCACCATACATTCTAGTCCGATTTAAACTGATTAAATAGTACAAATTAAATAGATAGTTAACTGGTAATGGTACAAACCTACTGACGATTTAGGCTAGCAGAATTACAGTCACGTATAAACTTAAGAAAACAAGGTAGACAGGCAGTCCATATTTTGGAAGTGATCCGTCTCTATGAAAGGTCGGCATGGGATAACCATTAAATGCTGGACTTCAACTTCGTAACCATAGGGGTATCAAATCAAATAATAGAAACTGTCTTTTGAATTTTCTTTATTAGAAGCTGTAATAACTAAAAATAATTAGATATCATCAAACATCTGACAATATACCATCATCAATTTGAAATCTATATCTACTAAGAACATATACGAATACATGCAAAACTTACGAAAATACCTTCCTTTAGAGCGAAACAGCTATTTCAATAGACATATCTAAGACGTATGACACACTTAGGTAGTAACTACTTATAGAAAACATAAAACTTATTTTAAGAAATGAACAGATCAAAATAGTTATTTTTCGGAGAGTAATCAATTCATGTTGAGTACGTAATATATATTTAGCTTCAGCGACTCTCTCTTTTACCTTGGTTCTCTGCAAAGAATTCGTAAATTCTGTGCCAGGTCAAAGGTTAAAGGTAAATGTCAAAGGTCATAGTTTGTCGTATAACGGCCAGTGGCTATGATGTCTCAAGCTCAAACTATACATCTCGTGATACAACAATCCAATGTATGACTCCTACATTCTCTAAACACCAAAGAGAGAACTATACCTCATGCACAGTGCTGCAAAACTGAACATATATAGCTGAAAGACAGAGACAGTAATATACTATACAGAAAAGAGGCAATATGCGAGTCGAACATGTTACAGAGAAGGAGAGAATAGATATCTAGGTCCATGGTTGTTGAAGGGTAGCCTTAGAAGACAACCGTGCAATTTGCACGGGATCTAGCTAGTACTATTTATATCGCGATCCATGGAGTAGTATAAACTATCTATAAAATTTTACTGCATCAGAAATGCCATCATTTTTCCTAATCATACTAATATAAAACAGCTTGTGCTTTTCCATCAGATACTTCCAGATACAGAAGACAAACATCAGCACTATAAAATGTCATTGGTTGTAGATGATCCTACATATTAAAATAAGAATAATCGAAATTTGCAAAATGTCAGCCATATAATTTTCGATTGACACAATATTACTATCAGCATGTGACCTGTATTGGCAGAAAAAGCTTAGTTCAAAAAGCACGTTCCAATCTACTTTATTCGATACTGTTACAAAAGAGAAGCTCAGTTTACGATCCGTACTTGATAGCAGAGACCAACAGGAACTGAACATCTATCGCTATTTGAATGGCTGCGGCATCTGATGTCAATCTCTTATCTTCTTGTCTTCTACTGTGACATATAGCACTTTGATCTATTCCATGTTTCCTCGAAGGTGTATCCACAGGTTCAGAAACGCTTTTCAAGACTACAACGCAGGCCAAACAATGCTATGGTTTGAGTAGCAGGGCGTTAAGACATATAAAATAGTCTTTGATCACCAGTGAACATTGGTTATCGGACTCAACTAAACGGACGATAGTATTCATTTGATCATATATTGGCTGATAGTGCTGAGTGGTAGAATATTGCTTATGTTGCTATCTGTCATCATAGCAGTTAATGAAATAAAAATACAATAAAGCAAATTGACATATCTCGTAATTATCCAACAGTCCTACATACAAATGATGACTTCTATTCGAAGTATAGGTTATAACCTTAAAATGATCACATATTGTTTAGAGATCCTTATTCGCTCATTATAGATGTCTTAAACATTTTTGAGATAACCTGTTTGATGCATTTTTCAATACTGAAAAATAAATGTAAATTGAATTTCTAGTTTGAAGAAACTTCAGAGCTGAAATATACATGAAAGATGTGAGAAAACAATGAAAAATATGATTTTTGATACTGTAGTACAATATCTTGCGTGGCTTAGATGAAGGCTTGTTACTACTTTAATCCCCAACATTTTATACTCATTCGATAGCCCTTTGTTTGCTCTATCCAAATCCATAAAAACAATTCTGGGCCCATAGAGGATTAAGAAAGAAATACAGCTTGCATTGAAAAAAAGAACGACGAAAAAACATGAAAAACCAGTGAAAAAACTGGTAGTGGTGATCTTGTTTTGAGTCTGGAGTCCTTATATAATCAAGGTTAAAAAGAAGGCCATATATGCAGTTTTGTAGAGTGAGATTCGCTCTATCGAATGAGATATTACTCGAAAAGATTCTGGTAACTTATTATGAAGAAAATCATCAAATACTACCCAGTCAAATTTTGGATGAAAAAATTTTTTTCTTCAACAAGCTTGTTGAAGACCCATTCAGTATTTTACTTCAAAACTTTTTAAGGATCAGTCTGAATGGGCTAAAAATTTGGATTTAGGGGTTTTCGACGATGCTCTTTCATTTGGAATCAAAAACTATAGGGGTCAAATTTTTCGAGAGTATGACCATGTTCGATGGAGTGGTGGACCGTCTCTTAAATAAACGACAGCAAAATAAATTAGATTGTATTTTAATGAATAAGTGGAGGAAGAAAACATTGTTTTCTTGTTCATATTCGAATAGTTTTAGCAGGGATGTACAATCTGGTGAGATAATAAAAAATTTTCCCGAACGGAGAAATTCTTGCGGAAAATTTTCGTCGATACAAAACTCAATTGAAAGACGAGTTTTCTCCTTGAAGATGTTTATCAAAAAGAACAATTTCCACTATTTAACCTAGTACAAATATTCATTAAAAAAAGGATGCTACTCTTCAATATCCTTTGATTTAAGTAGAACTAGAGCTACTCCAATCGAATTGAACTCAAACTAACAAAAATGGTTCGAT